ACCACAGTCGAAACGCGTGCATTCACGGCAAAAACCGATCCAAATTGAAAGGGCTATTGAAGGTAAAAAAGTGTGTTCTGTTGTATTCTTCGATGTCGCACAGGCTTTCGACACAGTCTGTCACAAAGGTCTTCTGAATAAAGTAGGAACATGTTTGCTATCGTCATGTTTTGCGGTTTTGAAGTCTTACATTATCCCGATGTTTTTTTATGTAAAATACGAAAACTGTTATTCAAATCTATTTGCGATAAAAGCTTTTGTACCTCAGGGGAGTGTACTCGGTCCACTGTTATACTTGCCTTACACCTGAAAGTCAAATTGCAACACTTGCAGATGATACTGCTATTTTGGTGATTCCTGACTCCGTTGAAGAATCAATAGCCAAATTACAAACAGATATAGATTCGTTAGACAAAAAGATGGCGTATCAAACTGTATTCTGCTTAATCTGTTTATGTGGATTTTACAAATAAAAAAATACAGTACTTTCCTTTTTCCATTCAAGGTAATTTTACAAGGAAGAAAAATGTGAAAAAGAAACGAGACAAGCTTAATATGAAGTTGCGGGAAATGGAATGGCTGATTAGCTGCAAATCCACACTTTCTATGCAAAACAAGATTCTGTTGTACAATCTAATTTTAAAACCTGTATAGTCGATGGCGCTAAACTTTGGAGGAGCGCTAGCCAAAGTAACGTCCAAATAATCCAACGTTTCAAGAACAATGTTCTACGAATCATTTTAAAATGATTCGATACACCGCTATATACACCGCAATCTAAAATTGTCTACAGTCGCTGAAGAAATAAAAAAGAAAGCAACAAATCACAAACTGAGGTTGCAGCAACATGTAAACACAGAAGCTGTGAACATCATAATCTTGTATGAACAACTAAGACAACTAAAACGACGAAATGTCGTGACAAAGCATCTATTAAGAATGTAGAGAAATTTGTATCGATCAAATACAAGCTACTCGTTGTTTATAATGTAAATAGTTGTAGCAATACAAAAAAAAAATAAAAAAAAATTAATTTATCCAAGACAATATAACAGATACTTTTCATAATTTTTCGTAGTTTCTAACACTTACAAAGTATACATAATTTTTTAAATTATAATTTATTTTTAAAAATTTATATTATTCAAGTCACCGTTAGGTAAAAAAAATTTTAATTTGGGAACTATTTGTCATATACAAAAATACCTTAACATATTTTAACTTATAAAAAAAAAAAATAAAATCCATTCATTTGTGAGCTCATTTTCAAAAAATCTGTGCTCAATGATTAGACAAAAACCTTTATGCTTTTTATGTTTTTATCATGAATAGAAAATTAAGTTGTAGTTAAATTAGAGCGAACAAAATATATTATTTAATAATGTTCAACACCTTTTTAATAATATAACCGCATAATGCAGATTCTGAATTCTACTGTTTCTAGACTTGAGCAGTAGATAATTCTACTGCTTTTTCCTACTGTTTCTAGACTTGAATTTTGTTTTACTAATATAAGAGTTAAAATTAAGTGATCATTAAAGTGATCAGGACTAGTTTTATTTAAGTGCAAATAAACTAAACCAGGATCCAATTGATATTATTTTTAGTCACATCTGATACAAAAAAAGCACCTCATCAATTTATAAATGTTACTAGATAATTGGAACGATTATTTAAGTTCCAGTTATGTTCATCTCAGACAATGCGAGTTGTGAGGAAGATTCAATCAAATTGTTAGGTATTGATCTTTATTGGCAGACTGTTGTTGAAAGTGATATTGATGTGGATTTCGATGAGAAAGAGATTTTAGAATCGATGTCCTAAAATTAGTTTATTAAGCCTATAGAAGGGGAAGAAACATATTAGCTTATTAACCAATTGAAGCCGGACGACATAATGCACCACGGTGTAGCAATAATGTTGTTACTTGTTTTGCAGAATATGAACAAAATAAACAAATTACATAAGAATATAATTGTGCGCAATATGTAGAATCAATGGACTCAACAAATGCATGGCTTATCCATTTTAAAAATATAGTACACCAATTCCGCCTCGTTTAACGGCCGCCTCATACAACGACAAACTCGCTTAACGACCTTGCCATGTTACGCTTAACAGTCAAAAAATACCTCGTTCAGCGGTCGAGAAAAATTATTCAATTTAAAATAAAATTTATTTTACCTAGATATAGCATATATGAGTTACTTCTGAGTAAATAATTAGTACGCAGACAATATACATTTAAAAAATGATAATATTTTAGTAGTCCTGAATCTAGGTGTTCATGTGCAATTATTTAGATACACGTTGTGTTCTTAATGCTCGCAAGTTGTTTTAAAAGTGATGATTATTAACAATTCAGTATTATTAAGTTACTTGCTCAGTACGAAATTAAAAATAGGAAATAAAATGAGAAGAAAACGATGTCAGAATGGCTCCCCCAGCAACTGAAGTCTTATTGAAGAAATCACGTAAAGCTATTCCTTTCGATATTAAATTGAAGGTTATTGAGTGCAGAAGAAACAAATTTGTCCTGTAGGTTTCTTTTTTTATGGACTTAGAAAAATGTACTGTATTTTCAAAGTTTAAAACGAACGATTAAATTAATTGTTAGCTAACAATGCATAAGGTAATTTTAACCATTAAAACCATTCCTTATTTGCGTGTCTGAAAGTTCACGAGCTTTAAAAAATGTAAACAAGCAAACTTATCTCGGATTATCTCGAAATCAAACAAAACAGCTTGGACGGATAAAATTTTGTTTGAAAAATGGTTTCATACATATTTTTGTCCAGAAGCTAAAACATATTTAGAGAACAATTTATCAAATAAAGCTTTGCTTCTTTAAAACACGGCTTTACTTCAGCCAGTTGATGAAGGTGCCATATCCAATTTTAAAGCGCATTATCTAAAACATTTCGAATGTTCATAGAAGTAACACATAATTGAATGTACCAAAAAGCTTTCTGGAAAACTTGCAATATTGAAGATCCATAGTAAACATATATCAATCGTGGATGAAAATACAAATGTCATCTCTTAACAAATTTTGGAAGTCTTTGTCACCAGAATGCGTTGTCAGAAATTCTGTGCCTGAACATAATTTCTGACATAACATTTAAAACATAACATAAAAGCTAAAATATTAAATGAATTACTTATCTTGCTTAAATGTTGGTATTTTATAGCAACTCTTATAGCTCTTATTATCATATCAATGAGACCTCAATGGTGATTTCAAATCTAAAAGTCAAAGCTAACATTTGTACTTTACTGCTTTAGTTGCTATACCGAAATAGGCTACATTCATGCTCTAAATACAGTGTTGCAGAATGCTTCTGCAGTATGAAGAAAATAAAAATATTTTCGTACTGTATGAGAACACAAGTTACAATGAGAGACTAAGAGTGCATGTGCACATATGTATATGCTTTCTGTATAGATCGTGTACCTTCTGATCAAAAAATGTGATTTGTGTTTATCACAACCACGAGTATGCATGATGAGATCCCTGGTCGCCAAACAACTTCTGTTACTGAAGAAAACATTGAATCGGCGAAGCAGATCGTGTTGGAAAATCGTTATGAACCGATTAAAGAGATTGCAGTGTTGTTGGGCATCTGGATCAGCCGAACACATTTTAACTGATGTTTTCGGTTTGAAACGCGTTGCTTCTCGGCTATTGGCAAAAAGCTGAATTTCATTCAAAACAAGCCGCAGTTTTTGGCCAAAAACTTCACCAATATCATCAACCAACCACCGTACTCTCCAGATATGGCCCCGTGTGACTTTTTCCTCTTCTCCCGACTCAAATTGCCACTGCGAGGAACGCGTTTTGAGACCATAGAGGCCATAAGGTAAAAATTGCCTCACGAAAATTTTTCGACTTCTTTGTATAAACGCCAAACAAAAACTAATCGTACGATATGCCTTAAACTGTGACAGAATGTGTATAGTAGTGTAGCCAGCGTGAAAATTAAAAAATTTACCGATTGGATAAGCGCGGGAATTCAAAATTTAAAAATTAAAGTTATTTTTTGATCACAAGGTAGGTGTAATTTGAGTGTTTAAAATACTGTGATCGCTTTTTTTCTAAGGCGTTATATATCGTTTCCTAAGGCACAGAGCTACGTTTATTACCTAACCGATGCAACATCTAATGAACGCAAGTGGTGTTACAATTTGAAGTTATGTTAATTTATAATTATTCATTCATTAACAACTTCAATTATACTATAATTTACTATAATAATTATACTTTTTGTTTTAAGATGTCAGTGTTACTTCTTTTCCACACGTAGAAAATTTCTTTATAACGATATATTTTAATTTTTCTTTCTTATTAATATAAAGTTCTTTTCTTGAACGCTTATTACAAAGAAGTTATGCTATTTGCAAGTAATTTACTTGGTTGTTAACTTTAACAACAAATAGACAAAAACCCAATGCAGAACAACACAAGATTAGTACGGTTTCAAGTCAAATTTTTATTAAATTTTGCTTCATGTTTAATAACACAGACTAATAATTAATAATAAAATAATTATAAAACAGAGTTTTGTAGATTCATTACTGTTGAAATCTTTTAGAATTAAGTACATTTTTTAATGAAGTTAATCACTTTTATCAGGAAAATTGTTATATAAACGAAATTCATTCATTCACATAACATTATAAAAGGATGCAATCTACCCTCAGTTTAAAATTATTTGGTTTTCAATATACACACAGCAAGCAATAGAAATAAGTTTATGTTATAAGAAGGATACGCGAAACAAAAAGTTCTACATATGGTATACATATACGTAGCGAACTACAGATTGAATTTTGGAAAATAACAGTTTGTATATTCCGTATATGCTAGTGTAGGTTTGTTTGCAAACAAGCTAAGCAAAACATCCACAAACACAGTTGAAGCAACACGTGCATAGAGTAGTAGGCATGCGCTTGAATTTTTTAGCAGTTTTTGCAGAAATGTCAAACTTCTAAATCAAAAAGTCAGTGGTGTTTGGGGAGGGTATCGATTTTTACACATTTCTTCATTGAACAGCGCATTTATAGTAAACTGGTTTTCATTTGGATTAGCGAATAAGGACAAAAGTAAAGAAAGCCAACTATTTTTTTGTAAAGCCATGAAACCCCTTCTACACTAAACCTCGAGAAAATATTTTATAAATGTTAATAAATATTAAATGTTAACACTGTTACCAGGGATAACAGATTTGCTGTCGTCAAAAATACCAAATAAATTGAACTACAAAAAACTAAAGATATGATTAAAATGCGGCCATATGTCCCATCAAACCATATCGCAGTGCGTGACTCAGTTGACGAGGACATAAGTGACGATATCGATGACGATGTTTTTATTAAGGATGCACGCTCATCTAAGGTAATATTAATACTCTGGCATACAAAATTAAATATAAAACTATCATTTGCAGTCAAATGATGAAAAAGGGGTAAAACGTCCTCTAATGAACCCTCGACGTAAGAATGGTAAAATTCAGGATTCAGGGCCTATTATGAAAAAGCATAGGCATTGTTGGCGCTGTTGTGAGCCATTTTGTTATGGGCTTGCAGTATTTACTATAATAATTTCTATAATAAGCTTTGCTGCACTGATGCTAACCATGTTCCCTCAACCTATGCAAAAAATAAAGGTTTGGTTTAAGCCAGATTCACTATTCGTTGATGTCACAAACATTGATACACAATTCAGCACCTATGGTAGTAGTATGGGTAGTGAGTTCGTTCCATGTACTCAAATAAGCGTTCAAAAAGTTTGGGTGAAAACATTTTTTCGCATGAACAGTGAAAGTCCAGTTCGAAAATCTGACTTGAATGGTGATGGAATAAAGGACATTATATTCGGATACGGTGTTGGTAAATGTGTTTCATCAAGCTCGCATTACCTTTTCATGTATTTATGTCTTGTTATTTAGACGACAGCATTCAATCTGAAAGGGTCACCCTTCCGAAATGTAAATCTGCTCAGAATGACGATGAAATTCTTTGTGAAGGTGGAGTTATTGCTGTAAACGGAGCTAATGGTGAACTGCTCTGGCAATCATGGAGTATTGCTAATGTATTTTCACTTTTGTGTACACTTGATATTGATCGAGATGGTTATCCAGACTGCGTGGCAGCAGGGCGCTTAGGAGTAAGTTTAATTATTTGATAACTAAGTTTATTTTGTATTTAATTTAAAAAATTGACAAATCAGATGATTTTTGCAATAAACGGTCGTAACGGTAATAATATTTGGGAGTTTCACGAAGCTGAAGTTGAAACAAATTCTCCAATAATTATGGATCTTTATACAATTAATTTAGTGCGAGATTTAGATGGCGATGAAGTACCCGAAATACTCGCTGCGCACTTAGAAGAACGAGACGAATCTAAATCTGGGCATATCAAAATTATTTCTGGTAGATTAGGTAAAGTTATACGCACAATACCGACTCCATTCAAAGAGGAAGTGTTTGTTCCACTTCAAGTTATTACTAAACGAGACGGTACAGAGCTCTTGGTAATAATTACAGGAGGTCAAACAACGCCTGGTGGAATTTATAGTGTGCGATTGTTGTCACTAATGAAGTTCACTAGTGAAAAAGAGTTTACTCCACTCCTTCAGAACAACAGTTCTGGTCTAATGGTACCTTCTGTAATAACGGATATTACAGGTGATGGAGTAGCAGATATTGTAGTTTCTTCATTTAATTCAACAGTTTTTGCATTTGATGGATATAGTTACAGCCATTTATGGAATTTTACTTTTCCGAATAGCGAAAGTGTGAGTGAAATTGTTCCAGGTCATTTTAATCGGGATAATGTAACAGATTTTATGGTGAAATATAATACTGGACCCGGATTTCCAGTATATTATTATTCGCAAACAACAATATTGGATGGTAAAACTGGCACACCTCTACTAGATGCTATGATGACGGATTCAGGAGGTTCGAATAGTTTACTTGGAGGTGTTTCGATTTCACAATCATTTGGTGGAGATTTTTTTCTTCATTGGCAAATGCAGTGTCGGGGCAAATACAATGCCAAAGATGTATATAAATTTATACCAGGTAGTTAAACAAAACATACGTCTGATGAGTGTAAATTTAAAGGCATAATTTTGAATGATGATTATTTCTGTCATAGATAGTGATATTATATTGCAAGCTCGTGCGGATACCTGCCGTCTTCGATATAATGAGTCAACTGTAGTAAAACTATATGCTATTGCTCGTCACTTGGAACCACCAGGAGCAGTGCTTTTTAGTACAGGTGTTTATTATAATAATACATTATACTAAACTTTTAATTCAATTTTATTATAGATGACTTAGAGGTGCAGTTAAAACGTACAAAAAGGATAAAAACTAATAAACAAAATCTTAATTCACCATTAAAGCATCCAAAATTATTAAAAAAACTTTTGGCAAATCGGGCACAGTTGTTAAAAAACGTTGCTGTAGCAGAAAATATTATTAATAATGAAGTACTTTCGAATAACATACAACCAAAACGACTTAAAGAGAATTCATTACTTAATCCAATCCTTGAACAAGAAGTGTTACAGGAAATATTACCAAATAATGATCTTTCTGCAAATAACGCATTTGAACAGGTGAAGGAGTACTTTGGAAATAACTACGTAATAATTTAATAAATAAATTATTTATAATTTATAATTTAATAAAAAAATATTTTACTTGCTTAGCCAAAGGACTATGAGTCTGAAAACCCGCATACGCAAGCAGAGGAATACGATATGCTCTATAACGACAACGACACGCCACAGGAACTAACACAGAAGGAGCGTCCCATACGATTACGTAGTAAATATCCAGGCAATCGAGATATAAGAAGTGATATTTCAACATTTGACAATAGCGGGAATGAAACACAACCCTTATCTATTGGTGGAGTTCCAAAAAACAACTTAGACAAACAGGAGCCGCTTAATTTATGGGACCTAGAAATGGAAAAAGAAGAAAGGGATGCCCTAAAAAATACTCATAAATACGACTATGTTTCAGAGGATCAAAACATGATGAATAAACTTAAACGAGCAGAAAACACGATAACAGTATCTGAAACATCAAGCACAACTACGGCATTCGTAGAAGACAATAACTGGTTCTTGGCTTCAATTTCATCAACAGGAGTCCTCTTAAAATCATTAAACGGCTCTAAATCATCGCTGGATTTTGTTTTTATACTTAATATTCGTGAATCTGAAACATATCCACCACTGTTACTAGCACAAGACCTTAAATGTGTTGAAAAGAAAATTAGTGCTTATAAGAGTAAGTTGGTTTTATTTATTAAGTAGAGTATTATTTTTTATATTAAATACATAGGTTATACTGCGGAAAATATGCGTTTATTAAAGAATCAACTGTTAAAGAAATGCTTAAGTGAACGGTTAGGCAATATTTCGCCCAGTACACCTCGATATGAATCGCAGTTAGAAGTCGTGCGTATTAGCATTTCATGTAGTTGCCATTCTCTACTAAAAGGCGAAGTTTGCTCAGAGTTAGATGATGTCGAGGCACAACGTTGGACAGAATTTATGGGCAATGATTGTCATGGATTCTATGCCAATTAAAAAATATATATTGCTGGTCAATCATTTATTTTTGCTAGCTGCGAAAACACTAATATTTTAAGTTATTCGTTACTAATTTAGGGTATTAATTATAAAGATATGTATATTAAATTAACTATAATATATTATAACATATTTATACACAAATAAATGTTTGTAATAAATAGTAAAATACATTGCCTTTGAATCTGTTATGTAGGCCTGTGTGGAAGCTGATAAATTAAAATAAGGAAATGAGATAAAATAAATGGGCCTATTTACACTATCATGAACGGTAACCGGTTTTCAAGTTCATGTTCATGTTACGTTCATAATATTGTAAATAGGTCCAATGATGTAAGTAAAGTAAGCAAACCACCACCAAAGAGCAAGAAAACTTTTTTATGTGCGCTACACAAAAAGCTCGTCTGATCAGTATAAAAGACGGCGCTATTTGGCAGGAAATCAGTGAGTCTTATATAATCACTCGGTGGTAGTATATATCAAAAGATTAAATAACAAATATATCATACTGTCTGACACAACGTTCTCTGCAGAGAAGGGATAAGAATACTCCCGTGGTTAGGATTGCCAGTCGTAAGAGGCGACTAAAAACCCCCAGTGCCAGTCTGACACTTATGTAGGAAGTGTAAATGGTAGTGAGTTGAGTCAGCAACTTGCGACATCTGAACAGAGATGATCCGATCTGGTACTACGGGGGTCAGTGGCTCGCCGCTTCGGCTGTACTGACCATTGGTGTTAGCCTCGTAGTGGTTGTGGTTAAAACCCAAACGTACGCGGGAAGAATGATTTGAGGATTGTCATTCATTCGCCATGGAGTGCGTTTCATTCCGAGTGCTACAGTCCAAATTGTAGCAGAGGTTTTAGGTAGGTCTCACATCTCACCAAGGTGGAAGTTATGACTTACATGAATTTCTTCATTGGTACCTGCGGAATAAGGATGGCTACTCCAATGGGGCGTTGATTAACGTTTATATAGTATATACGTGCGTTAAGAGCACCGTGATGTTGAGCCATCAAGGCAGGAAATCACGTAAAAATATGAGACATCTTGTCAGACACAACGGCGGTTTTAAGTCAAGTGTATAATATATAAGAAATATATTTGTAATTGTTTATATGGTTTTTAGTCCAAGTACGTGAACACTATTATAAATATATTCAATAATCAAAACAATATATATTTTTGCTAATTCCTTCTCCCCAAACAGGTAGATTACACACAGCAAGGGGCATTGAATAAAACCAGCATATTTATTAATTTATTAAATTCATTTTTAGTGTTATTATTTTTATATTTATTATCTTCGACTTATACAGGATTAGTAAAGAGATTCCAGTCGAAGTTAAAAATTTTTTCTCATTACAATTAGCAGGAAGAAATCTGCCATTAATTAGGCATACTAAATTCCGAGACAAAAATAAATGCGAGAATTGGTTTTAAGCTTCATGATCTCAATTTTAATTCTAAATTTTATTAATGATTTTCCAAACTATTTTTAAAAAATATTTTACTATAATTTACAATTATTTTTCTTAATAATTTTAATTGCGGCGGCACTAAAAAGGTTGACCCACATCAATGCTTAGAAAATATTATGACACATTCAAGTGTGTCATCGACATGTGCAGAATGGTAGCACAGAAAAGAAAAGTGTCAAATAGTAATTGCATACTTGCTATAGTCAAACATTCTACTTGCATTGTGGCGGTTTTTCTGTGTGGGATCGGATTACATATGGTATTACATTAGTTATTTAAAATAGGTTACTATAAAATAATTTGTGTATAAGCGCTTTTTAAAAATAAAGTGAAATAAAAATAAAATAATTTATTGTTTACATTTGAGTTTGAACAAGAATTATCATATTGCTATCGACTTCTATTATTCTTTTTATAGTATTTTTTATAAATTCACACCGACCGACGAACTAACAGCCCCAACTTCTCTTCAACTCGAACGTAGACTTATTAACATATCTTCTAATTTATATTTAACACCTTTGATAAAAACAGTCCTTTCTAAATCCGTATTGATTTGATTCCCTTCTTCATTTGGCACAGGCACCACAAGAGATTTTTCAACGGTTAGCTTTTCGGATGGCACTTTTATAATTACTTTTATAATTAATACGATTGAATGATCGTCGAAAGTCGCTTACCGAGTTTAATCTGCTTAAGTTTCTGGAAATCTATGTCAAATGTCTTGATTTCTTGCTTACTTAGTGTATTTGGCTGTAAAATACCTGTCTTAGCTGCCGCAATATTTTCTTATATGTGTTGTATCTGTTGCTTTAAACTATTTATTGTAGAAAGCTGCACAATTGCTACAATTTCATCTCTCATGTGTTTCCGAAAGTTATCCCATTCCCCAAGTTTTTTTTTTTTTATTATTCCATTGATATTACAACTATCTTATATATCTAGTAATACTTTTAACAAATGAAAATTTGGAAGATTCAGTTATCTTAAATCATCATTTAAGATAACATGTTAATGATAATGAAATATTTCATACAAATTTCAATACATTTCATAAATAATTAGATAAATAAATAAATAAATATATAAATACATACATAAGCAAATAAATAAGTAAATAAAATAAATAAATAAATAAAAAAGATTATCTATTTAATAAATAATAAATAATAATAATAATAAATTAATACACATAAATTAAAGTAATGGATTCAACTAATTTAATACTTAATAGTTAAGTATGTATGTTGGAAGTGTGCGTTTAAGACGTTTTTTGTACCCTAGTTTCAGGGCAGGGAGTCTTTTCATTTCTAGGTTTGGATGCTGAAGCAATTTAGATAAGTGGTTAGCACTGCTTTTTTGAATTGTTTCGTGTACAGAAGGGATATTCAGGTCTTTGTGAATATCGTCATTTCTGATGTACTATCTAGCATCTACTATCGTACGCAGGATTTTTGATTGGAGCCTTTGAATAGTATTTATATAAGTCTTGCAGGTGGTTGCCCATATTTCAATTCCGTATTTCCAAATAGGAACAATAATAGTTTTGTAAATTAGTAGTTTGTTATCCATTGACAACTGGAATTTTTACCAAGAAGCCAATATAGATCTGCAAATCTTCGATGAGCTTCCTTTTTCTTCTGAATTATGTGCTCCTTCCAAGTCAGCTTTTGGTCTAATAGCATACCCAAGTATTTGGTTTTCTTGCAGATTGGTATATCAATGTTAACAATTTTCAGTTTCTGTTCTTCAAATTTCCTGTTAGTGAAAATAACTTGGACAGTTTTTTTGGCGTTTATCTTTATCCCCCAGCTGTCAGACCAATGCATCACTTCGTTTAGATGATTTTGAAGATTTACAGTTGCTTTAGTGATATCATGGTTCGTTGATAAAAGTCCAGTGTCGTCAGCAAACGTTACAGTTAGTATTTCTCCACTTTTTGGCTTAGGAATGTCTGCAGTGTATAATAGATATAGGATCGGGCCTAATACACTCCATTGAGGGACACCGGCTTCTATTTTTATCATGTGGGATGTGTCGTTTTGATATTGTACAAAGAGTGTCTATCTTTAAGGTAGCACTTCAGTAGTAAATAAAAATATTTTTATTTAGTTTAGGCAATATTCTTGATAGTTTGTAAAGCAATTCTTCGTGCCAGACGCTGTCGAACGCTTTAGCTACGTCTAAAAACACACCCACAGTGATCTTCTTTGAGTCTATATTCATTGCAATTTTATTAGCCACCCGATCAATTTGCTGAATAGTGGAATGCTTTTTACGAAATCCAAATTGCTGATTTAGCAATAGGTTGTTTTTTTGTATTATTGATACAAGTCGGGAAAAAAGAAGATTTTCAAATAGTTTGGATAAGGTAGGTAATAAGCTGATCGGTCTGTAAGAGTTGACAATTGAAGCATTTTTGTATGGTTTAGGTATTGCTACAACCTTCGCTGCTTTCCAAACAGAAGGGAAAATCTTATTGCTGATCATGCAGTTAAAGATGTTTCTAATGTAAATGATAGCTATTTCAGGTAATTCTAGAAGAAATTTACCAGATATCTCAACGTAACCTGGTGATTTTTTTGGGTTGATGTTAACGGCGATGATGTTTTTTATTTCAGCAATTGTTGTCTTCTTAATTTTAACATTCTTCTGGGTCAGGTTCTTGGGTAATGCATGGTTTGTATCATTTTTAGGATTTGTAAAAACTCAGCGAGAACATTACTACCCTTTGTCGCTTTCCATAAGGAGTAATTTGTAACCTTTGTAGCACTCAATCTTGAGATAAAAAATGTGTCATTTTTTTTGTCTTTCAGCCTCTAATAAATCTTTCAGCTCTTTTATTAATTTATTCAACTTTGTCTTTATTTGTGGAGCTCTAGATACTTGCCAGATTTTTTTCAACTTTCTTTTTTGTTCTATTATTACATTTTTGGTTTTTGTTATTGGTGTAGATGCAGATGCTGCAGATAATAGTAGAGAATTGAAATTGATTATTGCATTACTTATTTCCTCTTCTTTCCTCTTACCTCGCGATATGTATCCCAACATGTTTTATAATTGTAAGTATTAATGTTAATATTATTCACAGTAAGAGTTGCGCTGTAAACTAGTACTATCGGTGAGTGGTCAGAGGACAACTCAAGGCTAGAATGAATATAAAGGTTACTTGCATTTATGTTTTTTGTTATGAAGAAGTCAATCAAATCAGGTTGCTTTCTTGGGTTACTAGGCCAGTATGTTGGTTTACCAGTACTTATAAATTTTGCTTTGTATTCATTCAGTGCGGTGTAGAGATTTTTATCTTTTGCGTTTGTTAAACGTGAACCCCATAGCATATTTTTTGCGTTGAAATCCCCTCCGACTATAAATCTTTGACCAAGAGATTTGAGGAAATTTAAGTACGTGCCTTTGGTATTTGAGAACTTAGGAGGACAATAAACAGCAGCCAATTTTAATAGACCATGGGAATCTTCAATCATTACTGTGGTCGCTTGTATTTGTTCTGTACTATGATTTTCTGATTCAGAGCTAACTATACAATTTTTTATGAAATATTGTGTAATTTTTTATTTTAACATAATT